ATAATTTGTAATATTGTAAAATTTGATCGGGATGTTATATGGTCCCGACGAGACCCTCGTCGGGACGCTGCGCAAAATGTGCAAAATCGGGATTATCCCGATGAAATCGGGACGGTTGGTCACTCTAATTCGGTGGCATCTTTGCGCCCACCCGTCTGTCCCCTTCTATGACACCCCACTGTGTTCTGCCTGTTGTCTGCAACCGAGCCTTAAATTATATCTTTCACTCGGATTTGAGTTTGCATTTTGTTATATGAGGTGTAAATCATATTTTGCGAAATTCTTTTACAATTTTATGATTTCTCTGAACTTTAAAACTATTTAACTATTTTAATACTTTATTTTAAATGCCATTATATGAAAAGCTATATATAACTAAAGTTTGCTATTTGTTTAAAATCTCTTTAGTATTTAAATAAATAGTATTTATTCGTTATAAACATTTTGTAAAACGTTTCCAAAAAAAGTTTTAAATATTACAGCATTTCTTGTTATATAATTTATAAATTTAACTTATTTAACGGTAATATAAAATACCTTTAAAACGTTAATTGATTAATGAGTACAAGTAAATTAAGTTTTAATAATTTATTATCTAATCGGCTTAAGACTATAATTTACATGTATATGTATTTCTAATTATCTATATATGTTTTCTAATAATTTAAAACTAATTTTGTGGAAATTTAATAGTTTTGTTGCACTTTTAAATAATAATTATTTAAGATTACAAATGAATGAATGATAGGAGAGGTCATGGGAAAGGATGGGTCAGGCATTTAAAAAGTGGTAAAAACATTTATATTTGCCACGAATATTGTTAAATTGTAAAATATTATTTAAGTTTTATTTATAAATTTTAATATTAACAAATTAAGAAAAAATTACAAGTTATTAACTCAACAATAATTAATCATTTAATAAAAGAGGGCTTAACTTTAAATTCATTGAGAGAATAAGTATTTCAATTAATTTCCAATAGAAAACTAAACCATAAAAGTTTTGGTAAATGTTTGTAAAATACAAGTTTGTTAAGTAGTCGCACAAAATTTGCTCACTATTAAAAATTGTATTTCTATAATTTAAAAAATTTATTTTATATATTTTCACAACTAATATGCGAATTGCAAAATGCATTTGTAATGACATGAATGTTGTATTAATTGAGGTGACGGACAGACCGTATCAGAAGTGCTAACAGAAGGCCGTAAACTTGGAGTTACGAAGAAGAATATGACACGAAATTGTCTATTAATAAGCGATTCCGCTATTAATAGAGATATAGATCTCTTGAATTGTGATCGCGATGTGAAGCGCAGCGACAGCTATGAAAACCAATGGATTGAACTCAAGAAATGCAAACTTTTCGAGGGCTGGCCTTCAATGGGCTCTTAATTGAGTTATTGAATGCCTTCGCATACTATTTCCACCAATATATTAGCATTCATTCAATTCATTTAATTAATTTCATGTATCAAATCGTATATAAAAACAATTTTTCATTTTATTTTATATTTTTGTAATCAATGAATATATAAAATCAAAATAAAAGTTTCCAAAAACAACTAAAACAGTTTGTAAATTAGCGTTTTTAATAATTAAACTCATGAAAATTTTGATATACATTAAAATATTTAAATTTAATGAAACTACGAGTTAATAAAAATGCTATTTTAGTGTGAATTACACTAATTTCACAATTTATATAATCACTGAATTATTCTCTATATGTGTTGACAAATATAAGATATTCCGAAACACAAACTAAAAAACATGTTTACAGAATCTCATGTTATTTATAACACTTGGAAACAATGTTATAGATCTTGAGGTCATATGAATTAAGTCTTCAATTTAAAAATACATTCAATTCAACTACAAATAGAGAGAATTGCGTTCACTATAAATATTTATACCGTATTGTCATTGAATGTCACAATAATTGTCTGCAAAACTAATCATCGAATCAATGAAATGGAATTATTTTAAATATTTTATTTAAATGTTATAAAAATTTTAAAATATATGTAACAAATTTAACATTCTTTAATTTAAATAACAAAACAATTAATTAAAATGATATAAACTATAAATAAATGCATTTTTAGTTGAAATGTGTTGATGGATAACAACCAAAAATATCACAGAAGAGTATGTTTGCAGACATTTACTTAAGGACTAATCTAATAGTAATAACTAATCTAATTGTTGATTAATTTACCGGTATTTATTATTAACTATTGGTTTGTATTGACTGGAAATATCCGTTTATTCAATTTATTTCTAATTTAAAAACTTAAATGTCTATAAAATGGTCGCAAAAATTGGTCATAAATTGAGAATATTTTTCACTTCTTTGACAATAGCGGTCACTTCAGCCATAGCTCCCATACCAGTGTCGCCACAGGCCAGTCGTTTAGCAATAGGTCCGACCTGTTTGTAGCCAAACGAGTGCAATGCCTGCAGATTGCGTTCAGTGATTGGATGCGACCACATGTTCACATTCATGGCCGGACAGAAGAGCAACGGTTTGTCTGCATCCCAGGCCCTCAACACACACGTCAACAGATTGTCACACATCCCGACCGCCACTTTGGCCAACGTATTGGCGTCGATGGGCGCCACCACTCCAACAGTGGCCCACTTTCGGAGCTCAATGTGAAGC